GTTGAAAGAGGAAGAATAGGTGTTAAAAGAAAATTGTCCGATACTCATGGAGATTATGTGAAGCAGTGTGCTTTAGAAGGTAAAGTCAGTATTAGAGGGGTATCTACTCATGATAATATTGCTGATATATTTACTAAGCCGCTTTCTCTTCAACCCTTTAGAAAATACAGAAATATATTGCTGAACTAGAGTTTATATTGAGACTTGGATGAGTGTGGACGTGTCTTGTGTGAGTGCTGAGTATAACGCAATTTTAGAGAGAAGGAGAGCGGGAAGTGAAGAGAGAAAGGGAGAAAAGGTACAGGAGGAGTCGAAAGGGGTTTGGAGAAGAGAAAAAGTGAGGGAAACAAAGGGCGAAGGAAGTAAGATGAGAAAAAAATAAAGGGAGAAAGGATAGGTTAGGTTAGATAAGACAGAAGGCGGGAAAAGAGGAGCGTAGGAGAGGGATATAAAGGCGAAGACAAAGGGAATAAGAGAGAGAGTTAAGGCGGGAGCAAGGTGGGGAATTGGAATAGGAAACAGGAACGAGATGTTCATAACGCCAGGAACAGCGAAAGAGAGGGATGGTAAAGGGGATAAGAGGAAGGCAAAGGGGGTGAGAGGTAGAGAGAGCGAAGAGGGCCTGAGGGGAGGAAACAAGGAAGAAGTGAGGCAGATGAAAAGGTACAAAAGTGAAAGCGAGGGGAGTGGAACAGATGGGGATGAAGGAAATGAAATGGACAGAACATTGATAGGGGTGGGTGAGAGTAACGGAGAAGGTAATGCAATTGAAAGAGTACTAGCAGAAATGAGAGAACTGAGAAGAGAGGGGAAGAGAGAAAAAGAGGAACTGCTAAATAAAATGATGAGGCGAATGGAGGAGGCGGAGAAAAAAAGGGAGGCAAAATGGGAGAGAGGGTTAGAAAAACTTAGAGAAGAATTAGAGAAAGATAGAGAGGAAAGGAAAAAAAGAGAAAGAGAAGAAAAAAGAAGACAAGAGAAGTGGGAAGAAAGAAAGAATGGATTGGAAGAAGAGATGAATAAGATGAAAAAATGCATGGAAGGAATAGAGACAAGGGCAGAAGAAAAAGGAGTAGATAGTAGGGATGAAATGGATCACATGAAGGAGAGGATGGATAGAGAAAGTAGGGTAAATAATATAATTGTAACGGATCTGGAGAGAGAACTGAAATGGGAAAAAAAGGGAATGCAGAGGAATGGTTAAAGGACAGAATGGAAATTAAGGGGGAAATAATAAGCCTAAGGAGTATAGGAGGACCAGAAATAAAACAGAGACAGGAAGGGACAGAGTATAGAAGGAAGAGGATGTGGCAAATAAAGTGTGCCTCATGGGAACAAAAGGAGGGAATAATGAAGAAAAACAGTAAACTAGGGGAGAAAAAAATATATATAGATCACGACTGGACGTGGAAACAGAGGAAAATAAGAGAGGAGGTAAGAAGAAAAGCAAGAGAATTGAAAAATAAGGGCAAGGAAGTTAAAATATGTCACAACGGGTTAAGAGCAGGGGAGGAAGAGTGGAGGTGGAATGAGAGAGAAGAAAGAATGATAAAGAAAGGAATGGAAGGGTTTCGGAAATAAAAGTGGGAGAGGAGAGAAGAGAGAAGAGGTGAAGGGAAGAAAAACAGTAAAAATGTTATTCTGGAATGTGGCGGAAATAAAGAGCTTGGAAGAAGAGGACTGGAAATACATTAGAAATTTTGATATAGTAGGACTTACGGAGACATGGGTGAAAAGAGAAGAAGCAGAAATAGGAATAGGAAGAAATTTGAATGAGTATAACATTGAATGGAGGGACTCGAGAAGGGAAGGAAAAAGGGGTAGGGAGATAGGGGGTGGACTGATGGCAGTTAGAGAAAGACAAGGGAGATTAAAGGTAAAATGGAAGAAAGAAAGGACAGAAGAAGTCATAGTAGGGGAAATAGAGATAGAGAGAGAGAAATGCACGGTTGCATCAGTCTACATGCAGCACAAGAAAAAAGAAAATTATGAATACCTAACCAAAGAAATAGAGGAAAATAGAGGTAAAATATTAATAAGGAGGAGACTTTAACGCTAGAACAGGAGGCGAAGGAAGAGAATGGGATAGCGAAGGACAGACAGAAGAAATAAAAACAAAGGATGCTATGATAAATGCAGAAGGGGAAGAGATGGTTAAATGGCTAGGAGAGACGGGATTAGTGATTATGAATGGGAAAAAAGAGGGAGATGAATGGGGAGAAATTACATATATAGGAGCGAGAGGGATGTCGACGATTGACTACGTAATAGGAAATATAGGAGGGGAAAAGAGAGTGAAGAAAATGCAAATGGGAGAGAGAATCAAATCGGATCACCTACCAGTAGAAGTGGAGCTAGAAAACAGGCTTGAAGAAGAAGAAAACAGAAAAGAAGAAAGGTTAAGAGAAGACTGGAGCGAAGAAGGAATAAAAGAGTATCACAGATGGATAGGAGCAGTAGAAGGAACGGAAAAATGGGAAGAGATAAAAATTAGAGTGCAGAACGCTATAACAAAAAAGAAAATAAGAAGTAAAAAAGGAACAAGAAAAAGCTGGTGGAGAGAAGAATGTAAGGTAAAAAGAGACAAGGTAATGAATGCTCTGAAAGAACTAAGAAGAGGAATTGGGGACAGAAGCAGATACCTGGAAGCAAAGAGGGAATACAGAGAGGAAATAAGAAAGGCAAAAGAAGAGGAAGGAAGGAAAGTGGCGGAGGAAATAAGCAAAGATAGAACGAGAAGGAAATTTTGGGAAAAAGTGAGCGGAGGAAAGAAAAAAAGAGCAAAAATAGACGAAAAAATAAGCAATGAGGAATGGCTAAAACACTTCAAGAAGCAGCTAGGAGAAAAAGAAAAGGACTACAATAAAAAAGAAGAAAGAGAAGAATGGGAAAGGGGCGAAAAAGAAGAAAGAGGGGAAATAAAAGTAAAAGAGGTAGTAGAGGTGATAAAGAGAATGAAAAAGAAAAAAGCAATAGGAGAAGATGGGATTGCAAATGAAGCGTGGATGGCTGGGACTGAAAGCCTAATAAATGACCTGACAAAATGTCTAAATAGAGTATGGAACGGAGAAGGATACCCGAAGGAATGGAGAAAGGGAATAATAATACCAGTATACAAGAAAGGAAAAAAAGAAGAAGTAAGCAATTAGAGGGGTATAACGCTGATGGACACAGGATATAAGATATATGCAGAAATAGTAAGGAAAAGACTAGATAGAGAGATAGAAGAAAAAGGAATACTAAGCGATACGCAAATGGGATTCAGACTAAAAAGAGGAACAACAGATGCAATATATGTGCTAAAAACGGCAATAGGAAAAGAAATCAGGGAAAAAGGTGGGAAATTGTTTGTCTTCTTCGCTGATATGAAAGCAGCGTTTGACAGGATAAGAAGAAAGAAGATATGGGAAATAATGAAGGAAAAAGAAATAGATAAAAGGATCAGAAGAAGCATAGAAGAAATATACAAGGAAACAGGATGCAGAATAAAAATTAGAGGAGAGATAATAGGGGAATTCGACACAGAAAAGGGAGTAAGGCAAGGGTGCCCGCTGAGCACCACGCTATTTAATCTTGCCTTTGCGGAGTTAGAAGAGAAAATGAGTAAAATTCAGGAAGGAGGAGTGGTAATAGGAAGAAAGAAAATTTGGACGATAGGATACGCGGATGATATAGTAATGATGGCAAAAAATGAAAATGGGATGAAAGAGATGCTGAAAAAACTAAGGATATTCTTAGAGGAAAGAGGGTTGGAATTAAACGTAGAAAAGTTAAAAATGATGAAATGTAAGAAAGGAGGAGGAAGAGGAAAGGAAGAAAGTTTTGAGTGGATAGGAAAGAAAATTGAAATGGTAAAAGAATATAACTATCTGGGATACATAATAAACAATAATAATGGGAATAAGAGACATATAAAGAAAACAGAAGGTAAAATAAATATGGGACTAGGAAAAGTATGGGGGTTGGGAGAAAGATTATTCAAAGAAAATTGGAAGCTAAGGATGATGTTATTTGACGCGTTAGTGAAAAGCGTGATAATGTATGGAGCAGAAATATGGGGGTGGAAAAGATACGAGGAAATAGAAAGACTACAAATGAAATATATAAAATGGGTACTGGGTTTGGACAGAAACACACCGAGTTATCTGATAAAATGGGAAACAGGAAGAAAAGAAATAAAAGAAAAAGCAATGGAGAGAGCGATGAGATATGAAAATAAAATTAAAGAAGAGGGGGATGGAACAATAAAGAAAGAAGCATGGAGAGAAATGAAGAGAAACGAAAGGAAAAGAGAAGAAAGAAATGAAAAAAAAGGAGAGAGAGAAGAAAGACTAGGGGAAAGTAAAAAATACAGAGAGAGAGAAGAAGGAGACGATGAGAGAGAAGAGTTCTGGGAAGAAGTAAGAGAAGAATTGAGGAAAAAAGAAGAAAAAAAAATGGAAGATAAGTTGGAAGAATCAAGATATATAAGAGAGTGGAAGGGGATAAAGGAAGAAATGAAGAAGTGTAGACTAAAAGAAATACAAAATGAAGGGAAAATAAGAGGCCTACAAATAAGAGAAAGGTTTAGGTTAGGGAACGAGACAAGAGGGAGTAGATACTGGGAAAAAGAAGAAAATAAGAAATGTAGAATGTGCCAAAAAGAAGAGGAAAATTGGAAACACATAGTAGAAAAATGCGAAATGACAAGAAAAGAAGGAGAAAAGTGGGAAGAAATAATAGTTGGGAGCAAAGAAAAAATAGCATGGATGAAGGAACTAAAGTGGAAAAGAAGAAGAAAAGAAGAAGAAAAAGAGAAAGAAAAAGAAAAGTGAAAAGAGAGAAGAAAGAAATTGGTAAGAGAGAATGGTAGTAAGCATGAGTGAAAGCAGAGGGAGCGGAGGATATCGCAGAAAAGGTGTAAAAGCTCTAATACGGACAGGTGAGAAGACCGGCTAGATAAGAAAGAAATTAAAAGAAAATTCATAGAGTAAAGAAGGCAAAAGAAAAGATTAACGAAAATGGATGAAATTGAAAGGAAAATAACGAAGATAGAAAGAGACGGAAGAGTAGAAAAAGAAGACCTGGAAGAATGGATGGAAATAGAAAGAAAAAGAAGAAGGGATGTGAAAAACAAGGTAAAAGAGTTGGAAAGAGAGGCTAGGAACCAGGAAATAAGACTAAGAACAATTGAGGAAAACCTAAAAGAAAGCGGAAAAGAAAGAGATGAGAAAGGAGCAGAAGAGGAAGTAGAGAGAAAAAAAGAGAAAAACAAAAGAAAAAAAAGGAAAATGGAAAGTGAGAGTGACGAATCACCAGGAGAAGAATGGGACGAGTGGAAAAAAAGAATACTGGTAGTGAAAAAGGGACCAAAATGGGAAGAAGGTGCAAAAATAGAAGAATGGTTTGAAAATGTTCATAAAGTGAAAGTGAATCACGTAATGGAATTGGGAGAAAGGCTGAAAGTAGAGTTTAATAGCAGAGAACACAGAGACAAGATATGGGACTTGGAAAGAGAAATATATAGAGAAGGAAAAATGAGCTTAGACGAGTGGCTGTCCTTTGAAGAAAGAAAAGAGAGGGACAAAATGGTAAGGGTAGCAAAGAAGGTCCTCAGTGCTTGCCAGGAAGCAGGAGTAGTAATGGACATCGTGGTAGAAAACAGAAGGATGATTATAAATGGGAGGACTTACAGAAAGAGGGGAGGTAAGTATAGGAGGGAAAGAGAAAGAAAGAGGATGGGATAGAAGATGGAATGAAAGAGTGAGAAGAAGACGAAAAAGGGAAGGCAAATGGAAAAGAAGATGAGAAGGAAATACAAAATACACTAACACAAACAAAAACACAATCACACACATATACAACATAATCACACAAAACACAAGAAAAAAAAAAAAAGAAACAAGGCACGTCACACAATAATAATGAAATGTACTTTGTAAGAAACTAAAGTTGTAACATTTAAGTTGAATAAATTTATATATATATATTGCTGAACTATCGTAACTGATATATATGTATAAAAAAATTCCTTTTGAATTTTTCAGAGGCGGCTGTTATTAATAATGCTGATTGAAAGACGTTGATGATCGAGGTAGATGAATTTAGAAGTATTTAATTTAGAAGAAAAAGTTAAGTTAATTATAAGAAAAAGCTAGTTCCTATTTTTATTTTTGTATTTAGATTTTTTGTATTTAGAAGTTTTTCGTTTGTATTTAAAAGTTTTTCTTTGTATTTAGAAGTTTTTCGTTTGTATTTAAAAGTTTTTCTTTGTATTTAGAAGTTTTTCGTTTGTATTTAAAAGTTCTTCTTTGTATTTGGAAGTTTTTGTATTTGGACATATGGAATGCAAAGCAAGAGAGGGAGTGTTAAAATCAGCTTGCTCGGCATTTCATATGTATGCGCATGCGCGCGCTTTGTGGGAACGTGTGTGTGCTGTGTCTTCAAGCTAAGGCCTGCGAGCCGCCGATTCTTTATACAAGCTAGGAGCTCACTTCTTCTGAAATCGCTTGGCAGTGCGTAGCAATAAAACACCTCTTTTCCTATTGCAACTCATGTGTACTTTTAATATCCTCCGCCTATATTACAACATTAATTGAAATATAATTTTTCAAATACAAATCTTTTAATAATTTTAAATAAATCTAGTTTATGCAAACTTTTTTTTTAATTTCGACTAAATTGTAGATAAGTCGTTAAATCGCAAATATATAATACCATTGTATATGTATATTTAATATAGAGATCTGACTTGATTGTTTTTCGTATACCTATAAAACATGAAAAATTGTAGAAATACAATAATTTAATGGAAATTCAATTACATGAAATGAATGACAATAATATCATATAGTACAATTTTTTAAGCCTACAATAGTTAAAAATAAATTTTACTGCGTCTTCGGACGTTTTTCGATTATTATTTTTGGTATATATAGTGATAGAAAATGATAAAGAATATTTGACAAATTAGCATTAATATCTTTTTCAACCCTTTCATTCGACATTATTTTGGATTATAATTTTTACCATTTCAAATAGGCGAAAGTTTTTCGCTCAAACAAGCTTTCAGATGTTTCTCTTTAAACACACACACATGTTCATATACCATTTCCATTGTTTTAAATATATTTTTCTTATACAACATCACTGCAACATTCGTTTATCTATACATATACGAATAATATCATCATATCGTATAACAAAAAAGTACATCTCAAATAAACGTCACATTATTAAAAATAATTTTTAGTAGCTCTAGAAAAATATAAAAATAAAGTGATTTTTTGTATCGATCAAAGGGACTGTCAACACAGCTTGTTGATGCGTTAGTTTTACTTACTTTAATTTCAAATGCAATGAACTTATATTTTGAAGAATGTGATATATGTTTCTAACAGGCGATATTTTTCATTTTTTCGAATAATACCATAGTGTTATTATTTTTTTCAGCATTCATGTAAAAAGAGCTAAAGGTTAATTTTTGTGGCACGCATTTCAGTTAAGGATAAGTATATCAAATTGATGATAAAAATGCCCCGGTAAACTCTTCAAATGTTCACGGACGTTTTCCATCATTTTATAATTTAAATAGGTATAGGAAAAAATGGTGGAAGTCTATGCTAACTTTTTAAAAAATATTATCTTCAAAAAATTTTATTTGTATGTGCTTCATAATTTAAACACAGAATTAATAAATATGTGTTATTTGCATTTTCAATTTAGTTTTACGTATATATATGCTTCCAATATTCTGCATCAAGACAATCGTATGCGATCTATGTGATACCTAAATTGATTGAAAACAAATACCTTCTGAAAGGCATTATAACACTTCTCTTATGTCTATATATTTTATTTACACTTATCTGATAAAATATATAAATTTTACGGTCAGATAATAATTAGCTAAGTGGTAGTTATCGATATGTAAATAATTTTAGGCTAGAGTGCTTGCAATAAATTGGAGAATTTTTTGCTATTTCAAATAAATTCTAATTCCATTTCAATGACAATTCTAATTATTGTAACATAATTAACGTTTATAAACTAGTATTGTAACGGGGTGGTTATCCTACAAAATGAGAAATTCATTAACGCAGAAACTCCCACGATGTAGAGCTAACCGCCGCTCCGTTAAACACGTATAGTTATACGTATATTCGCCTTTACGTTTGATGATTTCGTTTCAGTATCTTCTCTCCAACCGAGTTAAACTCACCATAAGTCACTTGACTTGTGACACTCAATCTATCTTCAGTATGAATGACTAATCCGCCTAATCCCCTAGACGAAATCGGATTAAGACTTAAGCCTTTATAGATCTATTAAGCTAATAGAAAACGAATGGACGTAAGCCACAAATAAAATTAACAAAGTTTAATTAATAAAAAATACAGTCATTTATGGGCCGAAAGACTAACGCACGCAAATAGGATTCATAATTATTAATTATAATTGGGTGAGAAAAAGAGAGAGAGAGAGAGAGAGAATTCGAAAATTGCCGAAAAATCTAACGCTCGGCGCGAATACAAAAATTACGCTCGCGATTAATAAAATACTTTCGAAAGTATTTTGTCGCGAAATAATAAAGGAAGGTGCACCTACCCTGCGGTGCATTTACGGTGATCAGCCGTAATTGTTGAAAATCAACGGTCGATGCTTCTCGAATTGATCAGCTGCGCTGCCTCGCTCTTAAATTTACTGCTATTTGCTGCTGCTGCAATGCTGCTGCTGCTGCTTCCTCGTACACTAACGCACGTATCAAATTCCCAAGGAAACATTCGTTAAAACACAACGAAACACAGTGGAAAATATTCGGCGGTACTTTCGCGAAAGCAGCAGAGGCTTAACTGAATATTCAAACGTTCGAACGCCCTTTCTCTCTGTCTTACTAGGGAACCACTCCAACCCCCGCCACCGATTTTTCTGCAATTGAGATATGATATAGTTCGTCAAAAAATCAAAGACCCGTAATTTTTTTTATCGGCGGAAAAAGCTATCTAAGGGATGAAACCCACCCCCCAAAAAACAGCCCCAAAAGCAGCTCTATAACAATATCTTTAGTTGTAATGAATATTTTTTTATGAAACAAAAAAACACAAGATACTTATAAAAAAAGTAAAAGACACACATTAATTTGATCCCGGGCGTTGCAACCCCTACGTTATATATAGGAAAAACTGTATTTTTAAATGTGTTTTTACCTTACAAAATCAAAAATTTATGTTAGAAAAATTTAAAAAATGATATTCTAGTGAAAAATGATAAAAAAAAATTTACGTGTTTCGGGGTTTTCCTATTATCTATTATTTCGAGGACGAACTACCACTTAATGTTATGACGCTCTATGACGCTCAAAAACGACAAACACATGTATACTTTTGTTCTGCCGAAGAAACTATTTAGAGGCTGAAAGCTACCCCCGAAAGTTACCCCTCAACACCATTTTATAGCGAAATTATCCTATTTTATGCACAATTTTCGACGAAACAAACTCTAAAAAATTCTTTTAAAAATTTCAGCTAAACATATAGATTTCGTCTACAGGATTTGCAATCCCCTAAGTTGCCTCAAAGAAAAGCTGTGTTTTCAAATATTTTCTTGCAAAATTTTTTCAAAAGAAATGAAGTTTATGAAATTCCGTTTAAAATCTAACACAAAAGTATACAGTATCCGACACGAAGGGCTGTTACCCCTTCATTGGAGAGTAAACTGAGCATTCATATGTTGCCCTGATCTCCTACCACGCCGAACACAATTTCCTTAACCCTCCAGCTGGTTACCTTGCCACGCTATAACCCGTAATCCCTACACCTCAATTTCATCAATACTCGAGACATTACCCTGCCACGATGTAACTCCAAACCCTTAACACTAAGTTCCTTAACCCTCGAGCTTGTTGCCGTGCCAAATTGGAACCCGTAACTCCTACACCCGAATTTCATCAATCCTCGAGCTGGTTACCCTGCCACGCTGTTACCACGAACTCCTACGTTACAATTTCATCAATTCTCGAGCTAGTTACCCTGCCACGCTTTATCCCCAAACTCCTACACCCGAATTTCATCAATCCTCGAGCTGGTTACCCTGCCAAGCTGTAACCCCAAATTCTCAACCCCAATTTCCTTAACTCTTGACCAGGTTATCCTGAAACGCTGTAATCCCGAACACCTACACCCTAATTTCATCAACCCTCGACTTGGTTACCCTGCCACGCTCTAACTCCGAAGTCCTACTCCCAATTTTCATCAACTCTCGAGCTGGTAACCGTGCCACACTCTAACCCCGAACTCCGACAACTAAATTTCATCAATTCTCAAGCTGGTTAACCTGCCACGCTGTAACGCCAAACTCTTATCCCCATTTTCCTCAACCCTAGACCTGGTTACCCTGCCACGCTCTAACCACAAACTCCTACACCCGAATCTCACCAATCCTCGAGCTGGTTACCCTGCCAGGCTGTAACCCTAAATTACCAACCCCAATTTCCTTAACTCTTGACCAGGTTATTCTGACACGCTGTAATCCCGAACACCTATACCCGAATGTCATCAAGCCTCGAACTACTACAAACGAATTTCATCATTCCTCGAGCTGGTACACCTGCCACCACTGTAATCTCAATATCAGATGAAATGACGAATTGATATAACGTAAATATAACATAAAAATAAAATAAATTTAACGTTATCTTCTACAATTAT